AAGTGAACAGATGGAGAAATAGACAAATGGAAATAGAAACAGAAGCAAAAAAAGCCAACAGAAAAAGAAAAGAAAAGGAGAAAGAAACAGAAGGAAAGTGTAGAGAAAGAAAAACAAGAGTGAGAAGAGAAGAAAAGATAAAAAGGAAGGAGAAGGAAATGGAAATGGTGGGAAGGGTAAGAAGGCGAGAAAGACAGAGTTGAGACTGAAAAGAACCACAGCGCACAGTGTCAGCACTCTGAAATCTTCTCTAGAAAATAATTTAAGAGCTCTGCTATTATTTGATGAACACACAATTCTTTTAAACACCAGGAAACAGTGATGAGTGAGTCAGAGGAGACTAAGTATCTGGAGCAATGTGCTGTTAAGATTTAACGGCGGCATTGCCTGTGCATGTTTATAAACGACAGCTCTGACAAACGTCCCGAGCCACGGGGTGGAAGACGCCACTCTTTCCTGCTTTGAAAACCTCCTTTTCTTCCCCAAGTGAGTAAAGTTTACACAGTCAGAAAAGCAACCTGATGCTAAATGCAGAACCAAAACCCTCTGACATGAAAAGCTGACAACAGAAGTAGAAATAATGAGATTGCCAGTGATACTACTGTGGAGAGACTCTCCTTACCATTATTTTATGGTGCCCTCAATCAGAAGCAATCGCAGAGAACTTCAGAGTGGGGTGGGACACGGGAGGGATCACATGATTCAAACACCTCCCTATGCAGCGGGATGCGGTGGGAGAATCTGAGAGGCCAACAGAATTCAAGCACTTTGTCCAAAATCTGGATGTGCTGATGTTTAACTTCACAAATGATTGATGAACACCTACAATATCCCCGAGGCCCTTCAGAGAATGTAAGGGAAATCCGTGAGCCTGATCTATTGATTTCTGTGTGCATTTAGAGCTACTTTTAGTCATGAGCCTCTGAATTCTTACTAGTACTTGTTTGCTGTGCATAATGACTGCACTCACTGTGGGGAGTGGAACATGCACACGACATGTCTCGATTCTTCCCCTTCCCTTGCCTTCCTGCCCCTCCCTTCTTCGATCTCCTTTCCATCGGCAAAAGATCCATCTTCCTGTTACCTATCTCTTATTTTGCTTTTCAAATTATTTACATTTTGCCTTTTTCATAGAAGAGAAACCACACGATATTTGTTTATGTGTCTCATCTCGTTCACTTAACACGATGGTTTCAAGGTGCAGGTACGTGAATCGTATCTTGTTTGGAACCTAATGGTGAATGTTAAATGAACGGATAGTGTAAAACAGCATAAGTGGGGCTGGGGATTTAGCTCAGCGGCAAAAGCGCCTGC